TTTTTATTTTGCGAACTGATAGTATTAAGGATCTTGGAGTACTTATCGATTCAAAGCTTCACTTTCATCAACATGTAGATATTTTATTTTCACAAACTATGAAATTACTAGGATTAATTCGCACCATTACGTTTTCCTTCTCTACCTTAGACAGTCTTTTGATGCTGTATACTGCTTTAATCAGATCCAAACTGGAGTACGCTTCTGTTGTTTGGAATTCGATAACGAATACTGACTCCAGCAAACTTGAGCGTATACAAAGAAAATTTGCAGCTCTCTGTCATAATAGATTTTTTAAAGATATAGATTATCATTATTTTAGTATTTTGGATAAACTAAATCTGCAAACCTTGGATGTCAGACGGCGTCATATTGATGCTTTGTTTTTAATAAATGTTTTTAGAGGCACAACATATTGCTCCTCTGTCCTTGATGCGGTCGGTTTGCGGGTTCCTTCTCGGAACATTCGAAATTTTTCTACATTTAGCTGTTCTTTCAGTCGCTGTCCCACAGCTAGATGTGTTGTTGCTGCAAATTTTGTTTGCGAACTTGTAGACATTTTTAGTAAATCTAGTTTAAGTTTGAATTGTTTAGTTTGATAATTTTTGTACTTTTGGTTGTTTTTTACTATTTGCACTGTCTTTTTAACTTGTCACTGGCTTTTGAGCTAAGTATGCAATTAGTTTTTGGTGTTAATTGTTTTTAATTTTCCAAATACTTAACGTTTTTGACCTGTTATTATCTATGTGTGTATTGTCTTGATTTTTATTATTGTCTGTTGTTTGTTATTTTATATTTTCCGTGCTGACTCTGTAATTGGCCTCCGCTGTTGAGCTCGGCACGTAAATAAATAAAGCATTGAATTGAATTGAATTGAATTATTATATACATCGAATTGAAAATAATTGTATTAATTCGCCCTCTCTGCTTCCTATAGCACTGAACATGAAGTCGTTACATTGCGACATGAGGGCTGAAAATGATTGTGAGTCCAGCGTGGTTCGGAACCAAGA